CGTGACGCGTGGGAGGTGCGACAGCCGCCGGGCGCTGCCAAACCTTGCTTCGGCAGCTGGCTCATGCTTGCCACCGTCGCCATATTCGTTAGCCTCCAGGAAGACGAGAACTCATGGGTCGAAGGCGTCCTGCGGACGGCTTCATCGGAGGACAGCGAACTGTGTGAAAATATCGGGAAAGAACACGTGGACTTCTGGGTCGATTGCTGCAAATCTAGCACGTCTCCCAGCTTCCGGACGACCCTGCTCCAGTTGTGCTATGAATCCTTCGGTGAGACCCTTGATGAAAGGCAGGTTTCCAGAATGTTAAAGGACTTCCTGGCCGTGACTGAGCGCCATCTTCCATTCGATGTCACAGAAACACTGTTGGACGCCCAGCTAACTCTCAAACAAGATGAACCCCAACAAACTGCCCTGAAAAAGATCGGACCTGGCTTGAGCCAGATCAACGGACCGCGTGGGCAAACAGAATGTGGAGATCACAACATTGATAACACTTGCCACAGGGAAGCCGAATCGCGGGAAACACTTCGGCACGATGTGTACCAGATTCTGCACCAGAAACTTCTAGAAGTCTTAGATCTAGATCGCCCAAGCGCAGACGTCACTGCAGAAAAATTGGCCAGCGCTGGAACACCGAAAATATTTGCCAAAGAGGAAGAGGTCCTGATGCATCTGAAGATGGCTGGCTGGGAAAGACCCGGGCAAACAAAAGAGAACGTCCACCATATCGACCATATCCTGAGCAGATACGCAGCTATTGATTGGGTCGAGGAGCACAAGTCGGCTCACACGGACAGCTACGTGAGAGCCAAGCGCATCAACAACACCTACACTCCGGTACTAGAAACCATCGGACATCTGATGACTCGGGGTCAACACCATCTGGCCAGCCGTGCGCTTGATTGGGCGTCCCGCCTGACTGTCCGAGAGGTTATCGGTATCAAGAAAGGCTCTAGTGAAGCGGAGGTAGACACATACAGTCTGCACAACGCTACCCGCTTTATGGAGTGTCTGCCGGCCGACATGAGAATGCTACTGCGGATGACAAGCGGCCGGGTCAGCCTCAAAGCGCTGGACATGCTGCTCATGAGGGGATTGCCGCTGCTAAATAACTGGGACGTACAGGACACGCTGGTCCAGTCCGGGAACAGGGTCGACGAGCTCCTACAGGACTGGGAGCTTTTTCAGTGGCATGAGGAACCGGCTCAAGTCTGCCCGAACGATGTCCGGTTCACCGACGCTTTGGTGAAACTGTGGCTGGTGAAGATGTTGGGAGGGTCTGTCGAGCAGTGCACGGAGTGCGTATGTAGTGTTCCCGAACTGCGAGAGCCCGACACGGCACAGTCGGTTAGAAGAATCCTGTACGGCACGTAACAGCGATGTTCGCAGCGTCTAGGCTACTGAACTGGCATTCCTGTCGGCCAAATTTGTCCGTTTTTTTTGGGGGGGGGGATTCTGTCACCATCCCGCACATTTAAAAATTGTTCGTTACAAAGGGTTCGTACCTTGCTTTCAGGTGAAATGTGTAAAGACAAAATGCACGTTTTTTTCTAAAGCAGTTTCGACCTACTTCATTGTGGTTCAAGTCTGAGGCAAAGTGCTTTTTGCACGGAAATGACTGTTGGATCTTTGGTGCACTCACCTCAGCGAAATGGCTGGTCATCGCACGGCGCTGGATATTGTTGCTCACTTCTGATAAGCAGTGTCACGCATATCTATGAGCATGAAGCACATCACGCGCATCCGAGCTCCTACCACACCACCTGGGGTGACCATCATGTGCACAGGAGCCTCTGCCGCGCGCGTCAGAGTACTCAACACGCGCCTCAGAATGCGCACCGCTTACATCGGAATGTTCAGTACCCGCTCCCGCTCGCACAGGGGTGCTGAACACATATGCGCCCGAGTTTCTACCCGGGTACCAGAGTGCCCACCACACGCGCAAGAGTGTTCACTGCACCCACGAGCACCAAGCACATGGATCGCACCGGTGTCCAACCTGCGCACTGAGGTTTTCGCCTCTATCTGGCTACAATGCGGCTGGTCCGTGCCGGCGTTCTCCGTGAACGAGGCATGCGCGGTGTGGGCTGGCCTAGCGGGCCATGGTTACCGCTGGTGGATGAGCGAAACGACTATTGCGATCTCTGGCCTGACCTTGCCGCCCAGGTGCGGCGTCGGTTACCACGCTGCGCCACCCTGGCGCTCGCGACCGCGTGCTTTACCTCGGCTCCGCGCTACCGAGCGGAGCTTGGCCTACGCCGAAAACCATACCCGTCTCCCAGTGCTCACCCCGGCCCCACGCCTCGTCCAAATCACCTGGTTTACAGCCATGTCATATTCATCACCTTTGTACACATTATGCCGATGTAACAATGCTTTAATAGTGAATAAAACAGTGAACGGTAGTGCTTGGCCGTATCACGGGCCGGCCAGGGGGCCGGAATCACAATGACGCTTACGGCTAGGTATTAAATCAACTGGAACACGTCAGGCCGCGCACAGCAGAGGCGATCAGAACCAATTAGTGTATGCACTGGATTTATAATTAAATAAAATCACTGTCGCACCTAGGAATACGTACAAATGATGGCACGCCTAAGTGGCACACAATCAGTAATATCGGCCGATTTCGGGACGCTAAAACGACCCGCTGGGAATCAGGACGAGAGAAAATGAAACGAAATCACAGGTAGCAGTGAGCTGTCCGCCGCCGGCGGGCGCCGTCCCCTCGCACTGTCTCTCTCTATGTACACCCACGGTGGGGGCGCGGCGGCCCGGGCACGCGCGCCGGCGCCGCCGACGGGCCGCGTCGGCGGTGCTACTTGTCGAGCGCCGTGTCCGGCGAGGCGGAGCGCGACGCCGACAGCAGGACGGCCACGGCCTCCTGCTGCTGCCCCCGGCCACGGCCCCACGCCAGCACCAGTCACTTCGGGCCGCGCGACTTCTTCCTCCTCCGCTTGAAGAAGCAGCAGCACCTGCCGGCGCGGCCGACACGCGATCAGCGCCGTGCTGAGTCCATCAACATACAGGTCACTGGGCACCCACAGCAGGGGTTTGAGGCGGAATGCCGACACATCGACGGGTGTCTGCGTGGAAAATCAGGCAGCCACCAGGCCGTCCCAAGCGTTCTCAAGTACAACATTAGCGGATCGTTCGGTCCAGCGGCTCATGAGGTGACAATTGGAGCTACAACAATATGTCACGCGGCAAAACCAGCCAGACTGACATGCCCGGTCTCGATGGTAGCCGAAGTGATAGGTTAAGCGATCACCGAAGCCAAACATGTCGGACGGTGATAGGGGCGAGCGCCAGATGTCGGGGGACAGCAGGGGCCAAAGTGACCGCCAACTGATGGAGCAACCCCAGTGACAGGTCACACGGCGTCACGTTAGGGGTGACAGGAGCCAGAGTCCGACGGCGGCAGGTGCCAGTGACATGCCATATCGCGATACCAGCCCGAGTGGTGCGCCAGACAGTAACGGGAGCCAGTGTCAGGTGGAGAAACGAGCCAGTGACACGTCGAACCATACGGGTAGTCGGGGTGACATGTCACAGAGTGAGGGATGCCCAGAGTGACATATCACAGAGTGAGGGATGCCCAGAGTGACATATCACAGTGTGAGGGATGCCAGAGTGACACGTCACAGGGTGAGGGAAGCCCGAGTGACACGTCACCATCCGGGAACCCCCAGTGACACGTCACAGAGCAAGGACAACCCGAGTGGCAAGTCACCGAGTCAGGAAAGCCAGAGTAGTACGTCACACACTACGGGAAGCCAAAGTGATATGTCACATCGCACGAGGAGCCAGAATGACGCGTCAATCACAAGAGCCGAAGGAGCACGTCGGCCGGCGCCATGAGTCAAATGACACCTTACACAACAGGAGAGTGAATTACACGTCGAACGGCGACGAGAGCAGAAAGGCGTGTCAAATGACAGGGGTCAGTGACTAAATGAAATAGTGTTCGCAAAAACATGACGGTAACCGCGACACGCCAGATGATGCAAGCAGTGAGAATGACACGGAAACTGCAAGCCGTTGCCATTCGAGATTTCCAACTGTCACTTTCGTATGTCAAATGACAGCGGTCAGTGACTAAATGAAACAGTGATAACAACAAAATGACGGTAACCGCCACACCCCAGATGATACAAGGAGAGAGAATGACACGGAAACTGCGAGCCACTGCCATTCGAAATGTCCAACTGTCACTTTCGACATCAGACGCATTCTGACCACAAAGCCGGGAGACAGAGATGTCTGCTCAACAGTGATTGCTCGCTTGACAGCGGATGACTCTAAGACCGGGTGGACGCGTCCAACGGTGGCGGCACCTGACGCGACGCCGTACTTAGTTTCGTCGACCACATCCACGTCTGGCGGCGCGGCGATCGGCGTGTTGCTCTGGCCGGCCGTCGGGTCGTCGGCCCCCAGCTCACCGTTGGCCGAGCTCATCACCTGTCGGAGCCAGATCCGGTCCGGTCAGGCCAGGTCAGCGGCGCGGCCGCGCTGGACAAGTCACACGGCGCCCTACTCCGTCCGAGTTTACACTGGGAGCACACCACGCAGACTACGCTACGGCTCCAAGCACATGCGCGCTACCCAGGCTGTTCCGTCCCAACAGTCAGCTGTCCCGGCCGTAGCCGCCATCTCCGTCGGCCCAGCCGCGCGGAAGGCCGCGTCGCGAGCCGCGCTGGGCCGCCCCACTTGCCTGCACAGAGCCGTGCCGGTCTGCCGGGGTCAGCATGCCCCCCAGCAGGTTATTGGAGGCCCGGTGTGAGTCGGGCCAGGCGGCCGCCGCCTTGCCGCCCTGCAGACAGACCGAGGGGCGCGTGCGGTCAGCGGCCGGCGCCAGGCAGCCGTCGCAGCCGATGCCAGGCGGCAGCCGCGCTACCGACGCTGGCGGGCGTGCTGCGCATGCACCGCCTCACTGACGGGGAGCACACCCACACGGCGGGGACGGCACCGGGGGCATGCACTCGCGGCCGTCTCACCTTGTTGGTGGTGGGATGCCGCTCTCGGTTCGGCGACACGATCACCTCCTGACCGGTCTGCAGAGAGCCGACCGGCGTCGACTGGGGGCACAGCGCGGCGGCACCGCAGTTAGGGCCCGCTGCCGCTGGGCGGCACAACACATCGGAGGCCTGTGTTCGGATGGCTACAACACTGCGAAACGCACTCTCACGTTCGTCGCTTGTCGCCGCCGACCGCAGCTCAGGGTGTCAGGCTCGACTATTCTGGGCAGCGATTAATCCGCGACTTTGTGGCGTCACAGGATAGACCCCCCCCCCCCTCCCCTTTGCTTAACCTGGCGACTGCTCCGGCACAGAAATGCACTGATTTGTCCGCGCCATTTTGTGTGAAGTTTGCATTACGCCCAGTGCCACACCATTTTGAGAAGGCTTCCAGACAAACAAAATGACTAGCCGCATACAGACCCGAAGATTAACGTAAGCAACAACGCTTCTTGACCAGTGACGCCCACTAGGTGCTTGTGCTCTTTAATCGAGACCGCTCCCATGCAGTGGGTTCGCCCTGCTCGGCTAGTTGGTCAGTGGGGTTTCCGGGCGGGACATCGAAGAGTCACCCCTCGGTGGCCGCACAGCCGGCCGTGTGCGGCAGCGCTCCGTCAGACGGGAGCAAGGCTCCCGCCCGCAAGCCGCCCGCCTTCGGCTGCTGACAGCAAGAGCACCAGCCGCACACATCTTCACCAGCTGTCCATAGGCCTCCTGCCCTCGCTCACCCGGCCACGCCAGCTCACAGCTAAGCGCAAGGCTTTTGAGGTCCGCCACGGCCTCCGGAACGGAAAACCCTGATCCCACTAGCACGGCCGCCGTGCGCGTGGGCTTTACTGCTTCAAGCAGGGTGGTTTGACTCTCCTTCTGCTGTCAAGGGCCTTTGTCATACGCCGGCGGTATGCGACTACTGCAGCCGTCAGCCATACCTTCCAGGCCCGTCGGCACGGAGCGCTGTTGGCGTCATCCAACACCATTGTTGGTCCGAAACGAACGCACATCCGATGCAACTGGCGCTGAGACCCGGACGTCTTCAGATACGGCGCTGGACTGGAACGCCTTCAGATACGGCACTGGGTTCGGGCGCCTTCAGATACGACGCTGGGCCCGGGCACCTTCAGATCCGGCGCTGAGCTCGGGCGCCTTCAGATACGGCGCTGGGCTCGGGTGCCCTCAGATCCGGCGCTGAGCTCGGGCGCCCTCAGATCCGGCGCTGAGGCCAAGGCGCCTTCAGATCCGGCGCAGTCGCCGCGGTAGCCGGGTCTAAATGTCGTGACCACAAAAATACCCGCTTGCCATTTTCATCCCACTTAACATGAACCAGGCATGCAGACAAGGCGTTCCATAGCGGGTAGCGGTGTGTCGGAGCCAGACAGTAGACAGGCCACTGAGGTCAGACAGAGCGACGCCGGGTCGCCCGAGGGAGCGTCAGTCGGCGCCGGGCCGATCGATCACACCGCGGCCGAGCGCGCCGCCCAGCCGGGCCAACACGAGTCGACGCCGAGCGCGCCGCCCAGCCGGGCCAACACGAGTCGACGCCGAGCGCGCCGCCCAGCCGGGCCAACACGAGTCGACGCCGAGCGCGCCGCCCAGCCGGGCCAACACGAGTCGACGCCGAGCGCGCCGCCCAGCCGGCCAACACGAGTCGACGCGCCGAGCGCGCCGCCCAGCCGGCCAACACGAGTCGACGCCGAGCGCGCCGCCCAGCCGGGCCAACACGAGTCGACGCCGAGCGCGCCGCCCAGCCGGGCCAACACGAGTCGACGCCGAGCGCGCCGCCCAGCCGGTCCACACGAGTCGACGCCGAGCGCGCCGCCCCGGGCCACACGAGTCGACGCCTGCTTGGCCCGCCCTCACACCGCGCGACACACCGGCCGGCCGGCAATCGCCCCCCCCCCCCCTCTCTCCCTCTCCCTCTCCTCTCCCTCTCCCTCTCCCTCTCCTCCCTCTCCCTCTCCCTCTCCCTCTCCCCTCCTCTCCCCTCCCTCTCCTCTCCCTCTCCCTCTCCCTCTCCCTCTCCCTCTCCCTCTCCTCTCCCTCTCCCTCTCCCTCTCCCCTCTCCCTCTCCCTCTCCTCTCCCTCTCCCTCTCCCTCTCCCTCTCCCTCTCCCTCTCCCTCTCCCTCTCCCTCTCCCTCTCCCTCTCCCTCTCCCTCTCCCTCTCCCTCTCCCTCTCCCTCTCCTCTCCCTCTCCCTCTCCCTCTCCCCTCTCCCTCTCCCTCTCCCTCTCCCTCTCCTCTCTCCCTCTCCCTCTCCCTCTCCCTCTCCCTCTCCCTCTCCCTCTCCCTCTCCCTCTCCCTCTCCCTCTCCCTCTCCCTCTCCTCTCCTCTCCCTGCCCTCTCCCTCTCCCTCTCTCTCTCTCTCTCTCTCTCTCTCTCTCTCTCTCTCTCTCTCTCTCTCTCTCTCTCTCTCTCTCTCTCTCTCTCTCTCTCTCTCTCTCTCTCCGGACTGCCGAACACCATGAATATGCCAACGTGTGCCGAGCCAACAGGACGCCTGATACGGCGTGTGCCATAAGAGAGGTAAGTGGGTAGGAACGCCACCAAACCGGAGCAGCTCCGCGTACCGCTTGTCTGAAGGAGGCGCTGATGCACGCAACAACCTGGACGACCCCGGGGCGCGCCCGCGCTCTAATAATGGCGTGCTCAGGCGAAAAACGAGGTCAACCTCTTACTCGACCGCTAGTCCACTCCCAATCTGATCTCACACTTGGCGAATGAGGGTCGACGTCAGCTGACACTCCCTGACAACCAATCATCGAGAACCAATTGCGCCTGCACGTTCACCATGATAACCGGGCGAGCGGGCGCAGCGCGGCGAGCTGCCATTGGTGGCGACCGGCTCGGCCGTTGACGAGCCGGGGCTTACGAGAGGACCGTCGCGTGATCTGCGGTCGATCCGCACCGGAACTGGGCCCCGCCCACGACTGAGCGTCGACCAGCACTGACCTCCACCATACTTCAGTCAGGCACAGCTCCGCGCGCCCCAGTCCCGTCAAAAACGACACGAGTATCGCCCAGCCAAACCTCGCACGGTTCAGGCCAGCGTGCCAAAGTGCCCCTCGGCCAACGCCGTCCAGCCGTACTACGAGGAACGTGCCGTCCGTTGACACCACGACGGTCGCGTCACTCCTGCTCGCCTCGCAAGACGTCGCCCCACCCACCATGGTGCGTCCCGTCCAGTCGAACTCCTCGTCGTCGACGTAGCCTTTGCGGTCGAACAGGTCTTGGAACAGCTTGCGCAGGTAGTCGTAGTCGGGCATCTCGAAAAAGTCCAGCCGCCTCACGTACCGCAGGTAGGTGGCCAGTTCATCTGTGGTACATTTCAGGCGTGCGTCAACAGGACACAATTATAACACAAACCAACAGACATCAATCAATCATATCGCACAGTAAACTGAGTTACCTGCGAATGACAGTGAGCTTAAAACGGGTACTAGTGTTGTGCGTTCAGCACTGGCGCAGGTATCATATCGATACGGTGATTCCTCGTCATAGCAAAACGTCGTTCGCCGTAATTCCTCCTCTCAATCAAGGCGCCCAAAACCGATCACGCCGGCGCTGCACCATTTGAGGCTTGCCAGGGCCGCGACTTATCGCCACACATCACGGCGACGCGGGCCATCAACGGCAACACGGCCCATCACCGCTGCCGTCAGCGGTGCATGGGAAACGGCTTCATCACAGCAGAGGCCCCGCTCCCCAAACTATCACCGGAGTGTCCTCTGCCCTCAGCACGCTTGCCATGCGCTCTCAGCATGGCCTTAAGAGCGGCGGCCGTCCCGGAGGCGGGCCGGGGGCGGGACAGCGAGCGGGTCGACTGTCAGCAGACGAAGCGACTCGGTCCGACAGCTGACCAGCCGGCCTGGCCGCCACCCCGGCAGCGGTGGTGCACCGCCGCCGCCGCCCGCACGCCCCGCGGCCCCGGGCCGGCGGCAGCACCGCCGCCAACGCGCTGAGGGCGCTGCAGGGACGGGCACACGCAATGAGCGGAGCGCAGGTTCGCCCCGACAGGTCACGGGCCCGGGCGCCCGTCGGCCACGGGTCAGCAGAAGGCCGTGGCTGCAGTGTCGTTCTAGCCGCCCACCAGCAGCCAGACCAACGGCGGAGGTTGCCGGGCCGCGCGGCCCCCATGCTTCCACGAACACGGCGGCAATGCAACGCCCCCTGCAGCAGCCTAGGCCGCTCGACCCCCAGGCGCCGGGCTTCGCAGGCACGCGGCCCGACTAGCGCTGCACACCCCGCCGCTCGACCCCCAGGCGCCGGGCTTCGCAGGCACGCGGCCCGACTAGCGCTGCACACCTCGCCGCTCGGCCCCCCAGGCGCCGGGCTTCGCAGGCACGCGGCCCGACTAGCGCTGCACACCCCGCCGCTCGACCCCCCAGGCGCCGGGCTTCGCAGGCACGCGGCCCGACTAGCGCTGCACACCCCGCCGCTCGACCCCCCAGGCGCCGGGCTTCGCAGGCACGCGGCCCGACTAGCGCTGCACACCTCGCCGCCCGAGTCACCGGCCGACTGCGGGACCACATATAGCGACAGCGTGCGTCTGTTCTCCCGCCACTCGGGTGTTTGCGGTGGGCCCCCGACCGGTGGCTGGGTCCAGATCGACGGTCGAGGCCATGCCATTAACATGACCAGTCAGTCGCACGGTGGACCGGGCGGCCGCTCCATATGGATGAGAGGCGGCAGTCGGCGGCCGCCGCCGCCCCTTGCGACAGCACCGCTCAGAGGTCGCTCTCCCCGCAGCGAGCACGCGCCGGTGCCGACACGTCCGGCGGCACCTGTCTCTGGAGGGCGCCTGCCGACGCCACGCTCCCGGCGGGGCTGCCCGGCGCGCTCGCCGCCGTCCGTCGCCACTGACCGGGGTAGTTCTCGCAGAGCACCTCGATCGGCGTGGCCCGCTTGGTGTCGCCGATCTTCTGGTACCGCTCCTTGAGTGTCTCGGCCTGCAGGCCCTGCCAGGGCAGGCTGCCGCGCAGGAAGTACATGAACATGTGACCCAGCGCCTCCAGGTCATCCCGCCGACTCTGCTCTGAAACAAGGGTAAGATCCCGGTCAGCGGTCAGCGATCATCGGCTCAGAGTCCCCAGTCCACAGGGTATTCGACATCGGGTCGCAGCGCCGGGTCGGCGGTAACACGCCGCAGGACACTGGCTTGGCATGCCCCCCCCCCCCCCTCCCCCTTCCACTTGATACCATCCAGTTGAAGGTACCACAAAAAGAGAAGGGCACAGCTCAGCGCGTGACATTGCCACGCACGCTGAAGGACTCGATAGACATTGACGGAGATACCTCAAACACATTCGGCCGACACTGCGCCCGCTGCCTGACAGACGGTGCGATGGTCCGTAGAATGGCTCGTGATGCACTGAGCAAAACAGACGCAATTAGTGCCTGCCCCCCCCCCCCCCCCCCTCCCCGCCCAGCCCACTTCGGAGCTGCGGCGCCCGCTCAGCCGGGAGTGGCGCCAAGCCCCACAATGTCAGTGGGGCGCACGTGTGGCTGCTGCCGGCATCGGGCCGGGGCCATCACTCCTGCTGACACGCCGCTACAGACCGGGACACCCGGCCCTCGGGACACAACGCCCACCCATCAGAGCTCGCCAGCTCAAGGGGCCGCGGACGTACCACCACTTGACAGAAACAGCCCGCTATCGGGCGCGGCGGCAGCCGACAGGTGGCGCTGGCCGAGACCGGGCCGAGCCGGGCCGGGCCGCGCGCCAGTGACAGCTCGCGGGCCCTAAATACGGAGCCGTCAGCCGAGTCAGCAGAACGTGCGCCGCTCGCTATGGCAGCACGGTCGGCACGCGGCGGCCAGCGTGCCACAGCGGGTCCTGTCGCCACGCCCGGTCTGTTCGGGCCGAGTCTGCGGCCGCGGCGCCCACACGGCCGGCCCGACCGCCGGCTGTCCGAGGGTCACAGCGGCCGAGCGCCTCCGCGCCGAGCGGTACGCGCGCGACACGGCCGGAGCGGCGGCCAGTGGGCGAGCCACCACTGGCACACACGGTGAGCGGCACGACGGTCAGCTGTGCGTCGCGCCACCACCAGCGCCGAGCCGAGGCAGCTGCGGCTGGCGACTGACACCGCAGCATGGGGCCTCGGCTCCGAGGGGCCGCCCTGTCGACGCTCTGCCGGCTCAGGACGCCACCCTGCTGACACTCGGCCGGCTCCGAAGCGCCGCCGCCGGCCGGGGATGGGTCGCCATGGCGCCCATGTCTCCCGGGCTTCCTGCTTAGCAATCACGAGATCGTATAAGGCCAGGACCGAATCCTACACCGAACGTGCAGGAACAAAGCCGTCGTGTGGAAAAGTGAATGCTTTCGACAACGCTACCGCCAAAACAGCCGCAAGACAATCCCATCTGACCAGCCATTGTATCGGGCCATTCAACTCTTCAGACACAAAGGCAGCAGCGACTGAAATGCAACAATCACGGCGCGATCGGGTAGCAAAGGCAAATATTTGTGTGTGCTTGTCTCGCCAGCCAGTTCGCAGGTGGGGAAAGTGGCAGCGCACTGAATGTTTTCCGTACTTGGGCATAAGAAAAATGTGAACTGGTCCATGACACATCTCTTCCGACACTGACATGCATTGGGCAGCAGATCCCGGTCACTTCGGCGCTGGTTATACTCAGAACGGTGGTCTATAAAAACCTATAGGTGTGTCATGGCACGCGATCACACCAAACGTATCCATGAACCCAGATAACACATCGAAGTAAAACTGATCCATTTGCCGCAACCGGCCGGACAAACGGGATCACCTTCAACGGTTCCCTTCCAAGGTTTTGCGGCGCCGCACTCGGCGGAACATTGATGCCCGGTTCACCACTGCATTCCGAGAACACAGAGGGAGGCGTGTCTCACCACACCGCCCCAGCTGACGGGGCGGGGCGCGGCAACCATGGGGGGGGGGGGGGCGGGGTGAAGCAGGGGTGTGTGCCGACAATGACTGCGGACCGCGCTCGGCAGGTGTGTCGTCGGTGGGGGAGGGGCGTCGCCGTCGGCCGGTGACCGCTGCCGTGAAGCGCCTCGCCGGACGGGCGCCGCCGCCCGCCGCGCCTGGCAGGCCAGGCCGCTCCAGCACGGCGCTGGAGAGTGCGGGTCTGCCCGGGTGTGGGCCCGGACTGGCGCCACTTGCCCCGACCGAACTACACTGGACTGGACTGGACTGGACTGGACTGGACTGGACTGGACTGGACTGGACTGGACTGGACTGGACTGGACTGGACTGGACTGGTGACGGCCGGCCGTACTTTGCAGACTGTCTCAGTTAAGTTTCTGCCCCTCCCCCTCTCCTTCAGCTGAGAACAGTTGCCTGGGGTTTTCTTCAACCGGACACAAGTACTGAAGGACAGTCCCCAGCGAGGTTATTCCACGAGGGTCCCGCTAATTAACACCAAAGCGTCCACTTTGCAATGCGCTCGCGTGCTGCGACAGGGTGAATTTGACCAGAAATCGATGCACCCATAAAAAGGAACGTAACGGTGCATGTACCGTCACAAGTACGGGTAACCGCGCAGATCGACCCTATAAGCCCAGATGAAACGCCAAAAAATGGTTTGAGGGACAAATACAGCAACCAGGTGATTTAAGGCGTCATTTAAGCGCTGATTACTCTTGCCAAAACCAGCAGCATACAGTCCATGAGATCCCTCAATTGACCTAACCAATGAAGCATACAAAATATCATTGATCAACTGTCGCCCAAATTTCATAACTTAATGGCCTTTGTACTGTGCACTCTACCCCTGGGCCTCTGGTTTGCGTACTGGACTTGTCCACCTCACATCGTGTCGCCATCCGGAAAAAACGTGCAGCCTTTCCTCGACGAGACTTCACGACTGTCACGACTGCAGTTGGAGACTTATCGCGATTTTCTCAAACCTTCCTCCACAATGAACAGGTAGAAACCGATGAGCAGTACCCAAAGCCAACAGGTCGCCTTACCTTATATTAAAGGGCAATAGGTAACTCTCCAAAAAAATGGTATCACCATTTGCAATACCGCATGGCATATCAGCACAGTGCAAGTAACTTTTGCTTACAACGACTGTGCATTGCTTGAAAAATAATGTGCACATCTTTGCTGGCGTTAAAACTTTCAAATCACAGGGAATTTGTTTCACAACTCCGCTTAGCCGTACTTACACGATTGAGAAAAAACACGTATCTTCCGGCAATCGGGAGCAGTGAACGAGGATAAGAAGTTATAAGCATGAGTGATGCCAGACAGCAGCGGATGTCTGGCGTGGCCCGGTCCCGCTGAGAGGGGCATCCACCCGGTCCCGCTGAGGGGAGCACCCAACCACCCCTGCTGGGGGGAGCATCCAGCCAGTCCCGCTGAGAGGAGCATCCACCCGGTCCCGCTGAGGGGAGCACCCAACCACCCCCGCTGAGAGGAGCATCCACCCACCCCCGCTGAGGGGAGCATCCACCCGGTCCCGCTGGGCTGCTGAGAGGAGCATCCACCCACCCCCGCTGAGGGGAGCATCCACCCGGTCCCGCTGGGGGGAGCACCCAACCACCCCTGCTGAGAGGAGCATCCACCCGGTCCCGCTGAGGGAAACGGCGGCGCGGCCCGCTGAGGGGATACGCTGCCCCAACGAGGGGGCAGCGGGCCGATGCGAGCGGCGCGGCCATGTCTCCCGTCGTCGCGGCCATGTCTCACGTGCCGACAGCCACCCGGCGATTGGCGGTCGTGCCAAGCCAAGCGGCAGGCGGCGGCGGCGCCGCGGCCGTCGGATCCGTCAGTGTCATAACGCTGGCGCCGAGTCCGCTCCACATCTCCCGCCTCCGGCAGGACGGAGCACTGCGCGCCTCCGGCAGGACGGAGCACTGCGCGTCTCCGACAGGACGGAGCACTGCGCGCCCCGCGGCCGCCGCACCGCGCTCCAGCCAGCCATCGCATCGACCCACTCACGACGGCAGCGATTCAACCGCAGCCTGTCTGGGCAGCATCCGCGCCCGCATCCGCTCCCACGGAGGCGTTGGCCTGAGCCCAGCGCGGGCGCGAGACAGCAGCGGCGTTGTCTGGGCCGGCTGCCGTCCTGGTTTTGCGGCGGCGGCGGCGGCGGCGGCGGCGGCGGCGGCGGCGGCGGCGGCGGCTGGCGTCGCGTCCCATAAGGTACCGGCCGGGCCCACTTGCCGGCCCGTACCGACGGTCGATACGAGCTGGCCTATTCCAGCAGGGCATACCGAGCATTGGAACACGGCCGGCGGCGGCTCGGGCCGGGCCACACGTGGCTGTGAGCATGGTTCGCCACCGGCTGCCGGCCGTAAGCTCACGAGATCGGGGGACGAGCTGAGCTGAACGCCCCATTCCAGGAGTGCGAAGCAAAGAGAAAAATTAAATCCAGGCACAGAAGATAACAAACATAGCATTGCAATATTCTTTGGAGGTTCCAACGTACATGGTGAACGTTTGCGCTTACTCTGAGAGACGAACTGGATTCCACAAATACCAAGTGCAGTGTGCTCCCATTCTTTCAATCAGCCAGACGCTTACACAAATCAATCCGTTGACCCACCATGAATCACCCAGGTAAACACACAAATCTAGCCGCACGTGAGCCTGCCTTAAACGCTGCTACACCACAAGTGGTGACTGACTATCGGCGTGTGATGGTCCCCTGGCTCCGATACTTTTATCGAGTGACCGGACCTCCCTCGCCCACCGCCTGTCAGCACTCGGTCCTGCCTTTGCGGGGCGGACTCAGCCACGGGACCCGCGTTCACTAGGCACGGCTACCTGAGCCCGCCGACGTGGCAGGGCTCTGACCATCCCCTGAACGCCCACGGCCCCACATCCAGTGACGTCGCACGACGTTGGCGCCCGCGCGCGCGCGCGCCGCTGGCTCACCCCTGCCCAGGTGCGTGTTGATGCTCATGTAGCGCGCCGTGCCGGTCAGACTCTTGTTCTCCCGGTACGGGATGTGGCGGTTCGTCTCCGGATCGATGTACTCCTTGGCCAGGCCGAAATCTGCCGGCAGCGCCACCTGGTGACGGAGCGCCACGCCGCAGAGCGTGGCCGCGCGCCCACGCCCGTCAGGCGCAACACAGCAGCGGCGCGCACCGCGTTGACAGACGGCGCACCGTCTCGCCGGCGACGACAGGCCGGCGGCCGGCTCCCGTAGTTTCAACACACTTCGGACGAATGATGTCACACGGCGGACGAGCTGACGTCACACCTCGGACGGGTGACGTCACACGGCGGACGAGCTGACGCCCGTGGTCCGGCGAGCAAGGGCGGATGACATCGGACGGGGACGCCTGACGCATGTATGACGTACAGCGTCCGATGGAGCCGAAGGCGGTGCCGCCGCTAGGGCTGCCTGGCATCACATACCTATGATGTGGATGACCTTGTCTTTTCTGTTTGAGCTCCGGCCTATGAGGAAGTTCTCGGGCTTCACGTCTCGGTATATGAGGTGTTTGGAGTGGACAAATTCTATCCTATGTAACTGAAACACGTTGAACGACGATGGTTAGTCGAACAGGGCAAAAACATACGAGCAAGAATGGACCTTTCATGTGGGAAAGCCCGTCAAACACCCAACAGTGCTGCTCACATTGAAATTTAAGCGACACGCTTTGCAAAACCAGAAAAACATGCGGAAAAATAATCCGATAACTTAGCAATCGCTTGTATCGGGACTTCCGCTGAATCACTGACAACAAACACCGGATGCGATCGTTCACAGAAGGGAAAGACATGCAGACACACCTTCTACACGGCAAGCAGCGTGCCCAGCCACCACATGCGGTGTTCGGGAGCGGTCTAGTGACAGCCGAGCGGGCTGGCAGCGCGTGCGTCTGCCGATGTCGGGGCGGGGGCGGGGCTGCCGTCCAGCCCGTGTGCGGTTTTTTCTTGAATATGGACATGTTGTTTTTACTATCATAAAATATGCTACTTTAACACTAACCGCTAAGTATAATAGACAATTCACTCAAACTGATTAACTTCACTCAAAACGCACCCCTATTAAGTGAAGGGGTGCGTATTTTTGTGTTGGACAATAGCTTTGATAAGCACGCGTCCCGGCGGCCGGTTGAATGCGACGCGCTCGGGTGGGGGTCAACTACCCCCCCCCCCCCTGAAATATCAGAAAAAGAGAGCTGAACACCAAATTCTCAGAGTAGGTAAGCCCTGCATGTAAACTCACTAATGCCACATTTTGAAGTTCCTAGGTCATGATATGCAGGTCAAAGAAGGTCAAATAAGGTCAAACTGCAGATCAGTGTCCGAAGTGGCCGCAGACCTCCTCACGCAACCAACAGTGATCTAGATGCCTCTTCTGAGCAAAAGGTCACTTATATTAATATCAGGTCAGTGATCTTCTTTGACCCTCCGTTCAAAATGACGAAAACCCTTTGATATTGTTTTGATGTTTGAATTTGAACCAGCGCGAAGGCCTACGCAAGGCAGCATGTTCCCCAGAACAAAAGTTTGAATGGGATCATTTTAGGTCAATGAATTGCTCTGACGTTAATGAAGTCCAAAAAACATGTCTGCTGACGTCCCTGTGAAAATATTGAAATGAGCATCAAAAACCATCGCATAAAGCAAACTTTTCAGTAAAACGCAGTTTGGTTTAGGCAATGGCCTGACCTTCACATCTAATCCAAGTCGAATGGAATGAATCGCAATCCTGAATGCAATTTTTAATCGCTTAAGAATCCATCTCCAGGCTGTACAGCTTTGCCTTACACCTCGCTGTCGCAACATATTGCACAATTTCCTTGGAATTGCCTTCGCTGACAACCATGACCTGTGACCACCTGCCATCGGCGACCTTAGAAGGCACATCTAAAAAGTTTGGTGCGGATAAGCCGCGTCGTTCGGAAGTTATTCCGAAAATTTATTCGGGGGAGGGACAAATCGACGCCCACTCTAGCGCGTGTTAAGTGTTTATTTTCCCCGAGACAAGTCCTGAGAAATGCCTACGCTCCGAGGCCGCCCATTGCCAAATTCGTGAATGAAATCATGTTCATGTTCAAATCAATCAAAATCAAAAAGTTCATGAAGTCGTCTATTTCATGAACGGCGAGGAAGCTGTAATAGTGCTCAGACTCATTAATAGCTGACAGATGCATAGAACTGCGTTGCGTTTCAGAAACAAGATCCATACCTTTTGGTTTTACAACCACAAAAGTATTAAAAGGCGGTGCTTTCTCCCATTTTGTTTTCGGCGTTGACAGCTTCTGACCGCCCAATGGACCGCTACCCCTCTTCATCGCACACCCACGGAGTATTATCACGCTTGGGGATGGTTAGATGAAAAGGTTTGTCGTAGTTCCCACATAGCTTTCTCAAATACCACCAGTCATCCTCTTGCCTTTGCAAGATTGTCATAGCTCTATAAGTTGCCGTTACTGATATTCCCAAATGCCTAGGGTAACGTTTGAATGATGAGGTGCAATCGCATAGTACAGTTCAAAGGCTACGTTTTCTCTCAGCCGAAGGGAATCCGAATCACTAGGCACGTCTTATCGACAGGAATTACTGGCACGGTCATTTCCATCAGCAAAATGTGATTCCCGCTACAGGAATCGTGACCCAACACAGACGCACTGCGGACGCAGTCCCGTGACCCCTGCAATGCGCACTTGATGCGCCCCAGGGGCCGACGGGTCGTGTTCAACAGACAACAGTTCACCAGTTCAACAGATCGTTTGACACTGCAGCTGGTGGTTGAGTGCCGGAGGCCGAGTTTCCCCGTTGAACTTTAGGCATTGATCGTTGTTCCCGGAGCTCGCTGCCACGCAGTAGCGGCAGCCGAGGAAGGAAGCGTGTGGCCGCGGTGTTAGGTAGTGCGGCTGAATTTGGGAAAGCACCACATCCAGACGTATTGACCCGACACAGAGCACCACAGCGACGAGGCAACGACCACTGCGCAGTACGCTGTAACAAAAGGTGCAAATGTTCTGAAGAGGCACGCTTTGCGGCCATGTTGGACACTACCCGCGCATACAAGGCAGGACATGGAGACCGGACACGGCATGGCGCAAATGGCCGGGTAGACAAGGGATACATACGTACATACAGCAAGCATAGTATATAGATATTGATAACGTATTGCATATAACCACTGTTCGTCACAGCCGACGTGGATATGACGTGGCGTTGATCATCTTCTAAGATGTGGATCTGATGGGCCGCATTAAGTCGCCTAGTTTACGGCAATGTGCATGCAAATGCCATCGACGTTCGCAACAAGATAATACAAATGTGTATATACGCACATACATATATATATATATATATATATTATTCAATAAAACATTCTCGGGGTATATATATATTCAATCGGGAATAATATATATTCAATAAAACATTCTCGCAGATAGGTGTAAATATAGTTTGATTTCATAGCATGGCTTTAACTGGCTTAAAACTCATATACTAGCAATGCAAAGAAATCTGCAAGTTACATGGTTGACTTGACTGATACTGTGTTATTATTGGGACATTTCACATGTTATGTGATGTTATCGTTTCACATTAGATTCCAATCTAGTGTATGTCTGAACGTGTTTCTGGAAAAAGTGAAACATTGCACCGACAATACCAATGACGTTTTTATCTAGGTGAGCCTTGATCATATTGTAAGCATGGGTAACATTCACCATAAACATTCAACATACATGAAAGACATGACATGGCGTCGACACCGCCAGACAGCGTCATACGTGTCCAATGTGCGGGCCTCCGGAGCGGTTGTGTCTACTGTGCGGGCCTCCGGAGCGATTGTGTCTACTGTGCGGGCCTCCGGAGCGGTTGTGTCTACTGTGCGGGCCTCCGGGGCGGTTGTGTCTACTGCGCAAGTCTCCGGGGCGGTTGTGTCTACTGCGCAAGTCTCCGGGGCGGTTGTGTCTACTGCGCAAGTCTCTGGGGGGTTGTGTCTACTGTGCGGGCCTCCGGAGCGGTTGTGTCTACTGTGCGGGCCTCCGGGGCGATCGTGTCAACTGTGCGGGCCTCCGGGGCGGTTGTGTCTACTGTGCAAGTCTCCGGGGCGATCGTGTCTACTGTGCGGGCCTCCGGGGCGGTTGTGTCTACTGTGCAAGTCTCCGGGGCGGTTGTGTCAACTGTGCGGGCCTCCGGGGGGTTGCAGCCCTCGTGTTTCGCGAGTGCAGCGCCACCCCGCGTGCGACTAAACAGTGGAATTGACTGGTTGTTTGCTCTTGACACCGTCCAAAAACATCCAGACACATGTCGTCTGTCAGTAGAGCGCAGCCCCATGACTGACGGACAGGTCATACGAATGTTCTGGATCGCGTCAGAACTCGCTATAGTGCCTCGCTACCTACTCGTGGCATATCTTTGGCGATCGGTGGCAGATTGGAGCATCCCAATCACAACCGGCATACGCTTACCAATACCCCAACCAAATGTTGCTTCACGGTGAACGCTACTTGTGCCTTTCTGTGCACGTTTTCAAAAACGCCTCGCAGTTTTCCAATGCAATGACGTAGCTCGGCGCATCATGTTCTGAAGTGGTTTTGGACAGTCAGTTTTCCATCTTGAAACCATTAGCTATGTATCTGGGCGATTACGCATAAACTCGAGGCTGTCACTGGCCATCGTAACAGAAGGAAAAACAAACTGGCAGGGTCCAGCAAGATGAGACTCGTGTGTGTGTATATATATATATATATATATATATATATATATATATATATATATAGACATCTAAAACCTGCCCGCGCCAGAGCTAGCATGCCTTTCACTTAAAAAACAAACTTACGAGTCAAGGTTACACGCTTCAAGACCACATCCTCTCCATAAAGCACCAATCCAAAACATCCTGTTCATGATACAACGGCTCGACGGCTCATGACTTCGCAGCTGACGGTCTCAGGATTCCGATGTGAACTGCGCATCAACAGCTTCGCCGTACAGCGCCGCACCGCTCTCCGTTCTCGACCTTCGCCCCATGCTGCAGGTGTCGTCCTCGAGCTTCAAGTTCGTTACAGATCATAGAAACTCTGAATTCCTCTAAATGTCTGACAAATGGTGAATCAAATGGTTTGAGCTACAGAGAATAACCGAAGTGGATATGATGTTCATCCGATAGGTTAAGTGGTTCAAGCATCAGATCGTCTGAACAGCGAGCGGCAGACGCAGTAGGCTTGAGTACCTGATTCGGTGTCTGCAGCAACAATGGCTAACTAGAAGACAAACGCGCTGTCCAGTCTGTATCAGGATCGGAACAGCGCGTTTTGGTTGCTTCAAAATCTTGTCCCATGAATCTTCACCCACATAACTATCCCACCATCTATTAAATAGCTTTGCCTGGAACAAATACCCTCTGCCCTCCTCAAAATAGCGCAAAATTATCTTTAAAAATACACACACAGAGCTTTCGCTGTTGGAAAACCCATTCACCTACAAGTTGCCTTTCGAAGGCTACCAAGTTAACACAACAACAAACTCCAATTCAGCTGAACCGGCCGTGTCAGCAGATCTGGCGGCGTTACACCCACTGAGCCAGTAGCAGGGAGTCGGAAAACCAGAGTCGCCGATGACCCCGTGAAGAGCGTGACCAGACTCGGCAGACCTCGCGATGCATGTGTTACATTGGAGATGCCACTATACCCAGCGTATCCCTGCCTGGCGTGTCCCTCACCCCCGATGGAGCCCACGCCTCCGCCCGTGTTGCACTGCATCTCAACGCAATGCGCAATATTCTTTCAAGCGTTGAGTATCGCATTACACAGCATATTTGTAGTACTCGTGGGAGAACTGTGTGCAGGCGATAATTGCGGTCTCAGGATCTCCCAACCGCTACCTCCCGCCGCCCCGACAGCCGGTGCACCGGCAGACGGGAGGCGCGGCCAGCCCCCGCCCCCACACACGCTGCCCGCGCCGTGGCCGGCGGCGCTGTGCGGTGAGGCCCACTGAGCTGAACACGCCACCAGTCTACTCCTGGGTTGTAAGGGCTCTCCTGTGCAGCAGCAAGTGACGGCGGTGACGCCAAGGTTGCGTCCCATTGCGTAAGCCCGCCACTGCCAGCAGAGGGCATCGCCAGGGGACTGCTACCCCTCTCCCTCCCAGCACGACTCTCCACGTCACTTCCACCACGCGGCCGAGATGACAGTTAATGGTGACTCGGGACCGACTTAGTGGTTAGTGGTCCGGCTCGGCGATAACCTCACTGGCAGCAAACATAGCAGCGCAAGCATCTGCAGCTACGAAGCGTGCACTTGGACTACAACAAAATAAAATCATACTTACTAGCTGGACAGCTATGCTGAGCACAGTTTTAAGTGAGAAGCGCCGGTTACAAATGTCAAACACGTCTTCTAGGCTGGGTCCGAGCAGCTCCAGGGTTAGCGCGCGGTACTTGCTATTGCACATACCATAGTAATAGACCTCTGGTATGCCTTCTACGGGTGCAGCGTCGCAGGCAGAGCCGTGCCGGTGCACCAAAACAGACAGAGAACGGAGGGACCGGCGTCAGTGACATGCCACGAAAGCGACACACATGCGGCCGGGCGCCGGCGACCGCCGCCCGGCGCGCCCCAGCCCGGCGGCGGCGGCGCAGGCTGCGCTCGAGCGCCACTTCCTGTGCTCGGCTCCGACGGCACGACACGGCACGGCCACGCAAGCTAGCCAACGAGCAGACGGCCAGCGGACGGCACGCACGGACAGCGGCCGGCCGAGCGAGCCAGCCGAGCTAGCCAGCCGACGAGCGGGTCAGGCGCGCACGGGCAGCGGCCGGCCGAGCGAGCCAGCCGAGCCAGCCAGCCGAGCTAGCCAGCTGTACTTACTAATTGCACAGCTATCAACAACACGGTTTTAAGGGAGAACTTCCGGTCACAAAGGTCAAACAGGTCTTCCAGACTGGGGCCCAGCAGCTCCATAACCAGGGCGTTGTAGCGCCCGCACGGGCCGAAGTAGTACACCTTGGGCACGCCGTCTGTGGAGCAGCGGGTCGGGTCAGGCCGCCAGCCGCCGTCACCTGCCAGCCTCAACCCACGGGCAAACACACGGCGGGCGAGACACACGGGACAAACGTCACACTAACCCGGCACAACATCCGCTGGCGGCTGTGCGCCAGTCGGCTGGCGTCGGAGGTTGAATCGATGCCGGGCGGCCGGCCGATGAGTGCACGCCTGTGCCGTCTGATCACCATTGATCGCGGTCGGGCCGCCCTCTCGCCCTCGCCCCGTGAGCATTACACGCCGGCCGGGCCGGCTCCCTCCTGACCTGCTGAGCAGCCGCCGCCTGCTGACGGCCCGCCGCCCGTCAGCGAGACGGCAGGGCAGGTATCAGGAGGACGTCCCCAGCCCGGCCGTCCCAGCGACAGCCCGGCTGACCACACCGCAGCGGCCAGCCGTGGCACGCCGCAGCGCTGCTCACCCCTCCCCTCGGCCCACTACCGCTCCCCGCTCGGGGAGGACGATTCTGTTTCAGGGAGCGGTGACAGTAGATGTTGCGCCCGGCCACGCCTCGCTCGCGCTCGTCACCGCCGCTGGTAGGCCAGCGAGGCTCGTCCGGCTCCGGCACCTGCTCCGGCGCCGCAGCCGATACCCGGCCGTCACGTGACCAGGCGGCGCGGTCACGTGACGCGTCCGCCGTCAGCGGCTGATTGTGTGCCGTGATTGAGCTGGGGACGACCGATAGCGCAGGGCTGGTCCGGCAGCCGCCAGCCGCGATCAGCCGGGATCAAACCGCCGCTGGCATCGACCCCCGGCCAGCGGCGGCGGCCCGGCGACAGCGGCGTCCGTTCCGGACGGAGCGTGTCGTCAGCTGCTGCCGCCGTCCCGCACCCGGCGCCGTCGGGACGAGTGGCGTCCGCAGCGGCCCGTCGCGTTTGAGCCGTGCGACCCAAACGACACGTCGACGCCGGCTGGCGCGGTCGATGTCCAGAAATACCGGACCGGCGGCGGTGGTGGCGGCCGCGGCCTGACCGCGCCGAGCGGCGCCGCCCTGACCCACCCGGCGGCCGCGGCCTGACCGCACCAAGCGGCGCCGCCCTGACCCACCCGGCGGCCGCGGCCTGACCGCGCCGAGCGGCGCCGCCCTGACCCCTGGCGGCCGCGGCCTGACCACCCGGCGGCCGCGGCCTGACCGCGCCGAGCGGCGCCACCCTGACCCGCCTGGCGGCTGCGACCTGACTGTGCCGTGCCGCGCCGCCCTAACCCGCCCGGCGGCCGCTGGCGACACCAGCCGCTGGCGGCGGGAGAGCGGCGCGAGCGCCGGCTGACCAGAGGCCGTCGCCAGCAGCGGCCGGCGCCGGCGCACTGGCACGTGTGGCCCTGTGCCGTCCCCACGGGCGAAGGACGCGTCGGCTGTCCGGCAGCCCTCGCGTCCCGGCGTGGCCCCACGGCCTCCCCGTAGTGGTCGACGCAGACTCGAACCAGCGGGATAGTGGCTTCAGTGGCTTCAGTCATCCCTAGCCCGTTCACGCAGGCTGCATATGCAGATCAGGTGGCTCAACGGGTCTACCCGGTTGGCAACAACACCGAATACAGAACCGGTTTTAAAGTGGCGAGGCGTTCAAATGAGGAGAATCTGCAATACCTTAAGTGGAATACAGAACAGAACATGGATATTTAGCAACTTCCCTCAACCCAACAAAGGCTGCATAACGTAACCAAATTATTGTGTCGTCCTCGTTGTCAGTCCGTGGCGCTCACTGTTGTTCAGGCAGCGTGTGGCAGACCCGCCAGCGGCCACCTCCAGATCGATGAGTGCCGACGCATCTTGACACGGCTCCAAATGGCGCCTTGCTGGGCGTCGGCGACGGACGGACGCGCCGCCACCGCCGCCCGGAAGTGGGGGCCGTGCCGATCTGTGTCAGCCGGTCGGTGGCGGGGCGAAAGTGGAGCTGGGCCGGGTTGATCCTCATCCCCCCCCCCCCCCCTGCTGCAGCCGGCGGCACAGAGCCCAACATGCAGGCGGCGCCCGTCACCACACCGCACCGGCACCCAGCGGCGATAGCTGGCGCTCCAACGGCCCGCCAGACCGTCCGCCAGCGTTAGACCTGCCGGCCGCGGCCAGATCTCCCACCAGCCGTTGACCACAGCCAGACCGTCCTCTAACGTTAGACCTGCCGGCCGGGGTCAGATCTCCCACTAGCCGCTGACCACAGCCAACGTACAGACCCAGTCGTCAACGCAGATGTCCACCCCACGAGTAACGCACCCCAGCCGTGTAGGAGATGACACGGTGCGGTCAGCAACGCACGCCAGCCGTGTGCGAGATAGCGCAGTGCGGTCAACATCACGGCGGCGCTCTCCAGCCGGCGGCCGCCCGCCTGGCCCGGGGTCAGTGTCTCACGACCCGCAGCGGCAAGCACCGCACGCGCGCGCCCGCCACGGTCCGCGCATCAGCGCCCGCACACCTGACGCTTGCCGGGCGACCCAGTCGCGCACGAAACCGCCCCGGCCGATCGGCGCCACGGCCCTTGTCGACGCGTCTCCCAGAAAACAACCCCCGCCTGAACTGCAGCGCGCCATGAGGCCTGTCAGACAACGACGGTTGAGCCCCACGGCGCCCGGGCGCGAGTGGGGCAGTTCAGGGACGTTCGTTACACCGTCCGGGACGTTCCGTTGAGGGACGCATGAGCAGATGGAGGTCAAGCGATGGGCGGTGCGGCGCTCTACATCGGCGCTGTGTTTGGGGTCACATCGCTGCCCGGCGTCAGCCGAGCCGCCCGGCCAGCGCGACAGACGCCGCTCCCACAGGCGTCACAACGGCAACACCGCCAGTGGATGGCAGACGAGACAAGCGGATGAAAGCGTGCGCAGACGGCACGCTTCGGCGTGCCACCTCTGCGCTTCCGACTAGGCCGCAGACCGGTCGGCAGCAAAACACTAAATGACAGACCCCTTCGGACAGGGGGCAGCTCGGCCAGCATCAGGACAGGGGGCACCGGAGCGTGCCTATCGTGCCGCCCGAGGTGAACCGGACAGCTGACTCCCGGAGTACGACCCTGCTGACCGGCGGCCGCCGCCGGCGCTGGAGGCGGCCGTTAGGCGCCGGGCGCCGCCGTGGCAGGGCAGGGCGGCGCGGCGCTCGCTCGCGCCCCGGGCGGCTGGCCAGCGCGCCAGCTCCCCCGACCAGCGCCCCGTGCCCAGCTCCGGCCGGTAGCGCCACACCGCCGGCGGCGCCGCCGACCGGAGCCGGCGGCGGCCGGCCACTGGCCGGAAAGCGACGGGGATGGCACCGGAAGTCGTTGGGGACGGACAGGAAGCCGGCGAGAGCTGCCGCGGACTGGCCCGAATCCTCCGGGAGTGAGTCACGGGAACACGTCCCGAACGTCGGCACTTGGCCGGCCGCTACATGGCAACCTGAGAAATCATGGCTGATTGAGGACCACCGAGCTTCATTCCAAAGCGAGCGAGCAGCGCGCTGATGACGGCCGCTCTGGGGCTCTGCTCCACCAACGTCAGGACACCGGCGTGCTCTCTGCTTGCCGCTGAGTGGGCGGCCGCTCTGGGGCTCTGCTCCACCAACGTCAGGACACCGGCTGTGCTCTCTGCTTGCCGCTGAGTGGCGGCCGCTCTGGGGCTCTGCTCCTACCAACGTCCGGTCAGGACACCGGCTGCGCTCTCTGCTTGCCGCTGAGTGACGGCCGCTCTGGGGCTCTGCTCCACCAACGTCAGGACACCGGCTGTGCTCTCTGCTTGCCGCTGAGTGGCGGCCGCTCTGGGGCTCTGCTCCAACAACGTCCGGACACCGGCTGCGCTCTCTGCTTGCCGCTGAGTGGCGGCCGCTCTGGGGCTCTGCTCCAACAACGCCCGGACACCGGCTGTGCTCTCTGCTTGCCGCTGAGTGGCGGCCGCTCTGGGGCTCTGCTCCAACAACGTCCGGACACCGGCTGTGCTCTCTGCTTGCCGCTGTCCCCACCATACACTTTACCTCCACTAAAAAGTACCACGAGTTACTACAAGCAGGGATACACCTGACGACAGTAATGCTTGACGTTTTTTAACTGAGCTTGATAGAAAAAACAACGTGATTTATGGAATCAGCACCCCAGCATTGCCCGCGACCGCCTTGTAGGATATCTGAGCGATAACAACTGATGCACAGTGTAATTGGACAAAGCGCACTTTCAACGTGAATGAATGACTAAAGCTTTAAGGCATGACGGATATTACGTCTCCCGTCACCATTTGTAATATAACTGACTGTTTGAAGTTACGATACTAACGTGATTGGTAAATATCATCCATGTAGCAAGGGCAAATGCGAGCCCGACCCGGAGGCAACAGCGGGGAACATTACCACCTTCAGTGATTTTCCAGTCAAATCAGGCCGTTTCGGGACATCACAGAGAAGCACAAGCCAGGCGCAGTCGGCTGCTGACGCCGCCTGCCGCCCAGCCCGCTGCTCGGGGCAAGTGGCAACATGTCCCGGGCCGGGCCGGAAAACT